CAGTGTGGTACCCAACTTTTTTTTGCCACTCTTCGGCAGTCGGGTATAGCAATTTCTTGTGATCCTCTAGCATGCGCTCGAACTTGATCTTCTCCTTATCACTTTCGCATTCTCTTTGTGCATCTTGGATGGCCTGACCAAGATCATCATCGGGCTCATCTTCTGCCGCTACCTCTTCTTCAACAGCTACCTCTTCTTCAGCTTCCCCCATTGCAGTATCATCAAAGGCACGGTATTCAGTAAAACCATGAATAATCATGTTGTCATCATCCCCTTCTTCTTCATCTCCTTCCATTATAACACATCTTTCTTCGTGCTTAGTCCAACAAATATAGTTTGGCATGAAACCCGACGTAAATAGGTGTTCGTGAATTTTCCTTGAGTAAGAATAATCCTTCTCATTCTTACATAGAACACATGGGTAGCACATGAAACCATTCCGCATGTTTGCCTTGGCCACATTTAAGAAATCATACACGCCCCTCATGAACTCTGGAAGTGGCGGTCAGCGTTGTACATCCATTCTTTGGTTCATCGCATTACGTACATGACGTACACCATATCAAAAACTTATAATAACTCATATTATACAATATGCATGGTTAGTAGTTAATTAAAGGATCCAAAATATCCATCAATCAACATGATTAATTAATATCCTATACCACATAGCTGTTTCACATACTCTCGAACATTAATTTATTAAAGCCTTGATACAATGTAGACAATCACAAATAGCACAAAATAAACTAAACCTACAATGCACTTCAGCAGAATAAGGATTTCACGACCAATTCCAACTAAAACAAACAGATCATTCTTCTGCTGGTTCACTGTCTCATCATACACAGGTGCACTCTCATCAGCCGCCTCAATCTCCTTTGCAAGAGATTTTTGGTCGTGCTCAACGTACTTTTCCTCCTAGCACCAACCATCACATGATCCAGTGCCATCCCACTGAAATTACAACAACAAATCATGAACTTTAATCAAAATCATCACGAAAAATGGCTACAAACCATAGCAAAACATGACAAAAAATTACTCACTTCGTAATCCGGACACGTGTAGAAGATGTGCCCTTGGTTGGGACCCTTCTTCATCCTGTACTCCCTCACAATCTTTTGCCCACACTTGCCGCACGCAATGAGAGGGAGGTCTAGCCTCAGTCGCGTAGGGACCCCATGTGAGGCCGAGGACCTAGAAGCAGTCGCCACCTATGATTCTCTATACTCATTTTCATCAACTACTATAAGTTTCTCATTTTGTAAACCATGAAATTAAATGAGCTATATACTAAAAAATACCTTTTATTTCTCAATTTACTAAACCATGCATGAAATGAGGCAATGAAAGGTGCATACTAATTTTGATGAGCTACTATAAGGTTCCTTCATCTACATATGTAAACTATCAAGTGATTTTGAGCTCAAATACCATATAAATAAAAAATATCCATCATTATTCCCAATCTAGAAAACCAAAAAAAATTCTATTTCTAAACCATAAAACGAGGCAATAAAAGGTGCATACTAGTTTTGATGAACTACTATAAGCTTCCTTCATCTTCATATTCAAACTATCAAGTGATTTCGAGCTCAAATGGTATATAAATAATAATAAAAATCCACCATCATTCTTAATTAAAAAACCACAAATTTTTCTATTTCTAGACCAAGAAATGAGCCATGCTAGTAATGAAACATGGGAGGATGAAGTTGGTAATCTTTAGAACCAAAGAATGGATGGAGGAATGAAGTCTTCACCAATCCCGCGAGCATGAACTCCTTCCACGAGCAAGAACAGAGAGCAGGCAGAGAGTTTAAAATGGCTTGGGCTGGGGAGGAAGAAGGAGAAAGTATATTGCCTGAAACATGTAGTCCTGATTTGTGGTATAAACCCGGACTACAGGTAGCGTTTTAGTCTCGGTTAGAGCCACCAACCGGGATTAAATGTTTAGTCACGGCTGGTAGCTTCAAGCGGACTGGAGGGTGACCTTTAGTCCCGGTTTGAACCACGAACCGGAACTAAAGGCCTCTTCTTATACCCCTCCTGCAAAAGCTACGCCTCTAGCAGGGGACTTTAATCCCGGTTGGTTGCTCCAACCGGGACTAGTCCTGCCTTTAGTCCTAGGCCCCGCCTAAAATCAAAAGTATGTTCTCTACTGGTGATGGCAATTAAGTTAGCCAGGATTCACTGCCTCAACACATTTGCCTGAAACTTGCTCTCTTTTTATTTGAACATAGAATTCTAGTCTTCCTTGTATACTCTCGTGGGCATAATGAAGAAAGTAGACCAAAGACGAAGAAAAAACCTCCAAGGTCAAGATGGCACCGCCGATAGAGCCCAGCATGCAAGCAGGCTGAGTGTCTCAAGCAAATCCGATCTTCGTCGTGCTTCCTCTGTCCATCCATTCTGTTAGTCGGTTTGCTACTCAAGAGAAAGAGATGCAAATTTGGCAAGTGGAACTGCAAGACAAAGTTTAAGAAGCTACTTTGTCAGTGGTAGGTGTTTAGAAAGAATGAAATAAGAAAATCTTTTAATATAAGATCGTATGAGACTTAAGGTTGCTGTGCAAGTTGATGCTTGCATCATCGTTGGTTTTTAGTTGTGCTTTGGGCAATTTTTCAGTTTTTTTTTCTATGAGTTTGTGTTGTGCAAGTCCTTACTCAACTCGCTCTGTTGTTGAGCGAATTGTTTGTTCGCCTGCGTTGTCATCTTTTTCGTTTCTACTGGATGGCTCTCTCTATTATAACACGTGTTAGTTGTTTGGAGCTTTTGTCGATACATTCTTTTCGTTGTATTCTAGTTTCTTTTGGAGGCAGTTTGGCATATATCCTCTAAAAAGATTAAGCCACACCTTATTTTATTTTCTCTCTCTAACAAGTTTTATGGCAAAAGTGTTCATGACTAATGAAGCTCCGGTTTCCCTAAAAAAAGTGCTGGTCTATGTGATATTTTTCATTAACTTCCAAAAAAGTAGAGTTCACGTTATTCACTCTAGCTATAAAAGAGTTTGCCCATGTTAGGATTTGACCTGATCAAACGTCGATCGGGTCAAGTTCGAGTTAGACTAGAAAAAAATGATCGGGTCAAAAAAATTTACGCAATCCTGACCCAACGCATTGGCAAGTCGGGTTGGGCCATTTCTTGGGTTTTCGCACTTTGGGTCGAGTCAGGTTGGGTCAGGCCATGGGTCGAGAATCTAGGCCCTAACCCAACCCGACGTGTTGGCGGGTCAGGACGGGTCGGATTGAATTTTTCTGGACGGGTCAGATTGGGTTTGTTAGAGTTAGGTGGTCCATGAACTTATCTAGTAGGAGTAAAAACGAATCTAATTATATAGCCGCATGGTTTAAGAAAAAATATGTATAAATATGAGTACAACTGTCTAAAACAACTAACTGAAAATCTGAGTACAACTGCCAGACGCTGGTTGTTAGTGGGGAGTCTCGAAGACAGAACTGAGGAACATGCCACCACAGTCGTTGTGGTCTTCCTAAGGATGTCAACGGGGCAGGTTCGGATCGGGTAGAGTGTCTGGATACCCAAAATCGAAACCCGAACTTAAAACCCAAATCCGTCCCGAACACCGATTCGGGTTAAAATCCATCTCCGAAACCAAAACCCGTGGATCCCCGAAACCCGACGGATAATCCAAAACCCGAAAAAATACAACAAAACAACCAGAACAGCAATACAAAATATGATAAATTAGCAAAACAGATTGTAGATAACAAGATGTAACCATGAAAGTACTAGCAGGCAGCAGCTACAAATGTATAGAATATGTATAGAATAAATTAGCTAGCCATGTACAGAATAAATTAGCAAGCAACAGTCGTAGCTAGCCATGTACAGCATCAATTAGCAAGCAGCAGCAGCAGCAATTAGCCAGGGCAAGTAGGCACCTGCTCGCCTCCGCGACACCGCCCCCCAGCTGGGTGCGCCCTGCGCCTACGAGCTGCCCACGGCCCCTGATGGGCACGCCGCACGCACGCGCTAAGTGGGCAGCGGCGGCTGCCAGCTGCTGCAGTGCTGCCTTCTTGACGGCGGGCAGCGGCCAAGGCGGCAAGGCGTCGAGACGGCCGTCGGTGGGTGCCTGGGTGGGGTCGAGCCTCGAGCACGGAGCACCGGGGTGAACACGGATCCACGGTTCCACACCGAGAGGAAGAGGTCGAGGGCTCCACCGCTCGAGCTCGAGGCGTCCCTGCGCCGCCGCTGCGCGCCCGACTACGACTGCCCGAGCGGTGGCTGGGTCTGGGGTGACCGGGTGAGGGTTCTGAGGGAGAGGATTTCAGGCTTATATGCTAGGGTTGTTGATGAGCTGCTAGTGGGCCAAATTATTTCAGGGCTCCGATGGTGATCCGCGGGTGAAACTGAAAACCCGCCCCAAACCCTCTAACTTTTGGGTATCTAAACCCAAAAAACCGTGGACGAGAACCAGACACCAAAATTGAAACCGCCAGACCTGAAAACCATGGATATCCGACCCGAACCCGCACCACTGCCATCCTTAGGTCTTCCTCGGAGGCAGGATGGGGAGATTAGAAGTGACCAGATCCCAGATCACAGCTGTAGTCCCTAACGATTCATCAGCCCAACAGATTATATCCATACGGGTCTACCAGCCCATGATACACAGTACAAATTCATGGCCCAAATCAATCCTTTTTTTTTTATCCATCTTCCGTTGTCGAGATTGAATTGGAAGGACTTGCGATAGCCCGGCAAGGCTGTTGCACTTGCAATGGACAACTTTCTATAGAAGCTCCTTGCCTATCTTCACAGAAAAGCCCACGGATTACACACAAGACTCAATTATAAATTTGTTATTATTGTCAAAGCCCAAGGCCCATATAATTTATCTAGATCCCGTTTCGATATTAATCGGATAGCTAAGCTACCTGAAGACGCTGAAATCGTGGCTCGTGGGCAATCCATCTTCTAGCTCCCAGGAGCTCTGCTATCCTTGCACAGAGTCCAGGCCTCGCGCTTCCATGGCTCTCCTCCGACTCCAAGAGCAGTGCTCGCTCCTCCGAATCTCCAGCTCCCACCACCCAAATCCTCTCGATGCCCCAAGAAATCCTCGCAAGAACCAGCTTTTACTGCCCAATGCGGCCAAGACTTCCAACGCCTCCGAAATCCCGGTTCCTCGCATCCCCACCAGCGCTTCCAAGGCCGCAGTCCTGGCGCCGAAGGCGGCGCTTTGCCTGGACGCCCTTGTCCCCGTTACCGCCGCCCTCGCGTCCTGGCCTCTCCTTCCCTTGCGGCGGAGGGCGACGGGAAAGTGAGCCTCGAGTCCATCGTGGTGGCAATCGACGACTTCAACAACCGCAACCCTTTCTTCGTGGCTGGGGTCGTGTTCGTGTGGCTAGTGGTGATCCCGCTCGTGCAGGAGTACGTCTTCAAGAAGTACAAGCCCGTGAGCGCCATCGATGCGTTCCGCAAGCTACGCGACGTGCCGGAGGCGCAGCTGCTGGACATCAGGCGGGGCAAGAGCGTGCGGTTCATGGCGCCACCGAACCTGAAGCTTGTCGACAAGAGCACCGTGCAGGTGGAGTTCGACGAGGAGGACGACAAGGGGTTTGTCAAGGAGGTGCTGGCGAGGTTTCCAGACCCGGCGAACACCGTCGTCTGCGTCCTTGACAAGTGAGTGCTACATGGAAAATTGATTGAATTATATTTTACCTAAAGTACCAGATGCAGTGTCTTATGTTTCTGTAGATTGAATGGGTTTCGCCTCAAATGCAACTGCACAATATCTAGGGCGATAATAAATGTGTCTACCACAGTTGAGCCGCAATTTGCAAAAGATTAGTGTACATACTGTTAGATGTGTACTCTAAGGTGTACACCTTCTAGTAAATAAAATGCATATAGTTGTGTCCTGTGTAAACTAAATGGCTCTTTGATTTTACACTCAATTGTGCAAAATTCTTGGTAAATACAAGTGATTGATGTGTACATTCTCAGGAACAATGAAGAATTCCTCGGGAACACCACTAAGTCACAATTTGTAATTTCACTGTTTCTGATGCAGGGAACTTAAACATTGGGAGGGAGATTTGTTATTGGCTTTTCTATCCAATCAGTTTCTAATTTACATATGATTAAAATATATATAAATCTTGAAGAAATATTATTCTCCTTTAAAAAAATCAGCCTAACCAAAATGGATGCCATGTAACTTTTCACCTCTCTGGGTTTTTTACCTCAACAAGATTAATGAAAGCTTTCGTTTAGATTTGGTATATGTTTACTTCATGCCAAAGCAATTATATTTAAGAGTACTATATATTTAACTTCCTTCAGAACCTTTGGTCTCTTGACTTGCTGCCATCCAGTAGCACTTGACAACTTTTCTCCTCCACATTACCAACTTAAATTTATGCTGTGTAAGGTAGCTTTGATGGTAATTCTTTGAAAGTTGCTGAGCTACTGGTGGAGAATGGTTTTAAGGAAGCCTATGCAATTAAAGGGGGCTTGAGAGGCCCAGAAGGGTGGCAGGTAAGGTATCATTCTATTGTGTGAGGAATAGCAATTCATTTTTGTTTTCCTTTCTAAGTCTTTTCGTCTCCATTAGGCGGTTCAAGAAAATTATCTTCCCCCATCTGTTCATGTTTTCCCGAGGAAAAAAAAGGGTGCAAAGTTAGCTCACACAGATGCAAGCAATGATGGAACATACGGTCAGCAGCAGGGAAGCGAGGAATCATCTGCTCCTCCAAGCAGGTTTGTAGTCAATACAGGCGATGAATCCAAAGATGTTTATGAAAATTCCAATGGTAGTACAACTGCTGCAAAACATGCAACTAGGAGACCATTATCGCCATATCCAAATGTATGATTCTTTTTGCCTTTTCACCACCACACTCAAAATTAACATGCTTATTCTATATTTTTCTTCATACATCCAATTGGTTACCATTTATTATATGATTTGAAATGGCACCAGTATTCACACACGTCTTACTGCTTTTCTTTTGTACTGACAGTGAACTCCATTAAGAAATTATGTTATCTCCAGCTATCACACTTATAGCAATGCCAGACCTACTAAGCAATAGTTGACTCAAATCCATCTAAAACGATAAATAATTTGGGAAGAGCTCGCCACTGCTTTTGCATTTGGTATGCTTCTAGGCTAGAGTTATGACTATATTAGTTATTTTTAGAGCTTTATATGAATATTTAGTAAGAAAGTAGATCATGTTAATGATAGCACGGCCGATTTTTTTTTTAAGATAATGAAGAGACTTCCGGGAAGAACTGGCCATGGCTTTTATATTTGGTATATGCCTCTAGACTAGAGTTATGACTATATTATTTCTTTTTAAAGCTTTATATGTGAATACTTGAGGAAGGAATTAGATCATGGTAATCACAACATGAGCTATATTTTTTAAGATAATGGAAAGAGTTCCAGCTTCAACCTATTCATAGAAGAGACATCATACAACAACTATTACAAATTTGTAGCCCTAGCCCAAGCTACCACAACCAAATCCACATCCTAACTCAAGAGTTAAGACCTCAAATTATTGACGTATCTACAGGCTTAACTGAAGACAGCACAAGGCATATTTTGAGCGAATCATTAAAGCTCAAATTTATGTTTACCTGAAAGTTAGATAATGACACTTTGAAGACACATAAATGGCTTGACTCAGGTCCACAGAAATTACTAACAGGCAAGGACAGGGAATTCCAGTGCAAATGCTATTTGCTGACATAAAGTAGAGACATGACAGACTGCCCTTTAGATATCTACACTCATTTATATCCTTTGTTTCTTCAGTCTTTATGATGCAAACTGACCAGCGACCACAAAAACTATTATACACTGTACAAGCTGTTACAAACCTTTGAGTTTATTGTGCAGTACCCTGACTTGAAGCCCCCATCATCTCCAACACCATCAAAACCAACGAAGTAAGAGTAATGCAGGACAATAACATGTGTGAAACTCGAAAGGTCAGAAGCAGTCGTTTCGTGCACAAACATTTTTGTATACTTCTAACCGTGGATGTCGAGGAGATTGATTGGAATGACATGGAAGATGACCAATAGTGGTGTTTGGAGCTCTTGCTGCTATTGAGGCCATGGTGAATTCTTAGTTGTGTAATTGTTAAGCTTGTACCCGTTTGTTGTACTATTAATTGGTTTGTAAGTGGGGCAAAATGACATTTTGTACCTGACGATACATTTTGTGGTGCCATAGCGTTCTCAATTTGACAATTGTGGTTAACTCTATTTTATTATCACTGGTTCAGACATCATATAGGTCGCAGCAGTACTATTGTAACAGAGCTTCAGTTCATGCACTCTGCGTACATACTGAGGTTTTAACATCGTCAAACTAGTAGATATTATTTTGCCTAAAAAAGGAGTTGATATTTCTTTTTCAGCAAAGACCGTTTCCAGCCTGGCTTATATTGAAAGCTTAAAAGTGGTTTACATTGGGGATACCAGTTTGAGCGACAGCATTAATCCAACAAAGCGAAACAACCATCTAAACGCTACTGGCTCAATGCAGTTCTACCAGCCACCAAACTACATCGACTTAACGAATGCAGTTCTAAAAGCTTAAAAGTTTTGGTATTTTTTTTTTAGATACGTAGCTTTTTCTATGTATTTAAATATACATTATATCTAAATATCTAAATACATAGTAAAATCAATATATCTGAAAAAAAACAAAATGCCTTATAATTTAGAATAGATGGAGTAAATCATAAGATATCTCACTTTTATGCACATTTGTACAATAAACATTTGATTCATCCTTGTCGATCATACCATCCACGTTAGCAAACTTGATTCACCGTCTTTAGAAGAAAGGGAAGGGTTTAGAACCGGTACACAAGTTCCTTGAATCATCTTTAGAAGAAAGAGAAGGGTTTAGAACCGGTACAGCACACAAGTTGCTTGATTCATCTTTGAAGAATCGGGTAACCGATTCACCTCTGATAAACTGGACACAATTTCAAAATCATGTTCAATAAAGGCACCTTCCCTTATGTACACGATAGCCCAGTGGCTACACGCATGTAGTTATGTTGCTAGCGTCCAGACGTCTGATCCGGAATGCTAGCGTCGGACGGTGCCCGCACGACGAGCGAGCGAGCATCCAAGCAGCGTTGGACTTGCGAGACAGCGCCCTAGCAGCGGCCCGCGCCGCCAGACAGCGTGCGGGGACCGCTCGTGCCCCCTCTCGCTTCCCATGCGCATTCCATGTGCAACACCCCGATCTATTTTTGAAATATTCACATGCAACATTTTCAACATACAAAAAAAGAAATAAAACACTTAAAACATGTGTCTGAAACACTTGCAAAAACACTTGAAATGCACCTGAAAACCATTGCAAACATACGCAAATCTAGATAAAACACTTGCAACATATGTGTGTAACATATGCAACATCTCGATAAACAAACTTGCAACATACGTCTGAAAAACAGATAAAACATTAGGAACAGACGCTTGCAACGTACGTGTACAACCACTTGAGCATATGCAACATCCCCCTCTAGTTTTGCAATATTCGTATAAAACACCTAAAACATACATCTGAAACAACTAAAACATAGGGTTACAACTTGCAACATGTCTGAAAACACCTAAAACACTTGAAACATATCGTCGTCGGCGACCATGGCCTACCTGGTGGGAAACTACGGTGGCGTAGGCCTCCCCTTCGTGCCGACGGAGCGAGGTAGATAGCGGCGCATGCCTCCCCTGCCTCCCTTTCCGCGACAGGCGAGGTGGATGGGGCGCGGCGATGGATGGTGGCACGGCACGAGCGCGCGGAGCAGCGCAGGAAGGGGCTAGGTGCAGTGCCGCCGCGCTAGAGAAGGCCGCGACGGGCGCCCCTGTGTTGGAGAAGGCGAGCGGCGCTATTTTTTTCAGAAGCTGTAAAGCACTGAAGCGCATTGAGCGGAGCGGGGTGAGCGGCGTCTGCTTCCCAATATTACTAAAAATGTTGTTCAAACATGCTAAGAATTCAATCGAAATTCAAATAAACAAAAAGCTTCGAATTCGAATAAGACAAAAAAAAAGAAACATGCTAAAAATTCAACGAATAAAACAAAAAAATAAACAAAACTTTCAATCGAAATAATAAAACAAAAAAGAAACAAAAATTTGAATAAACAAAAAGCTTCGAATTCCAATAAAACAAAAAAGAAATATGCTAAAAATTCAATGAATAACACAAAAAATAAACAAAACTGTGAATTGAAATAATAAAACAAAAAAGAAACAAAAATAGAACAAAAAAGAAACAAAAATAGATGGCCCATGCAGGTCTCGAACCTGCGACCTTGGCATTATTAGCACCACGCTATAACCGAATTTTTTTAATTTCAACACTTTTTCGAAACTAATTTTAAATCTAACACTCTCATGTTTTTTTTAACTAACACTTTTAGCCGCGCCTACTGCCCTAGCGCGGCCAAATGCCTGTGCCGCGCCATGCATGGTGGCGCGGCAGAGGGCTGACGTGGCGGCGACCAGAAGCGCTGACCGCTGACGTGGTTGGGCTCTGCCGCGCCACCGATCTTGGCGCGGCAGTGTCGCGCCCTGATCCATGGCGCGGTAGAGCCGGGTATAACCTCCGCCGCGGAGTCCTGCTGCCCGAGCAGCAAAGCGGCCTAGGCGTCGCTCCCGCTCCTGCCCGTCGCCAAGCACGCTGGCCGCTACGCCACGATCGGCGGCGGCCCGGCCTCCATTGCCCCCTCCCTCCCTTCCCTTTCATTCCCCGGCCGCCTCCCTCCCTCCTCGTCCTAGTTCAAGGTAATGACACACATTTTATTTTCGTTTGAATGGTGGATAGGATATTATGAATGAGAGTTAAGGTTAGTAGAAAAATTATGTTTGAAAACTATGGTGAAGATATTAGTTTGATTTTGTCAATGTTAAGGTTAATTATTTAGTTAGAAGTATGTTTGCCATGTATATTTTTTTTGCTATAATTGTTGTTTATAATATTTTAGTTGCATTGCAAATGATTATATTTTACATTAATTTGTGTTATTAATTTGTGTTGTTTTGATTGATGTTTAATTTGAACCGTTTTATTAGATGGAAGACATATTTCGGGAGCAGTTATGGCGAAAACGGGGTCGTCCTAGAGAAATGTACCCCGATGAGTCTAGCAAAGATGCCCCCGTCCCTCCTGAACTCCCTGTCCCTAATTGTGACTATGGTCGTCCGGCCGACGTGTTTCAATCTAGACATCCGGACACAGCGGCTCGTTGCTTCTACACGTGCAGTCGTTTTAATGTAAGTAATTGTTTCCGTATATTTTCCTTCTTCATTTGTATTACTAGGTTACTAATATTTTGTTGAATTTTTGTTGTGTAGCCCCATGAGAGGTGCTTTTTCTTTCAGTGGGTCGACGGTGCAGACAAGTTTGACCCTAGGTACCTCCTTTTCGACGATTGGTGGAGAGGGCGACATCCACGAGAGCACTTCGAGCGGTGGGTTCCACCTCCCCCTAACCCCCCTCCAATGACGGCTAAGGAGAAGCACTTAGCCGTAGTTAGACGACTCAAGGAACCTCCCATGTGCCATTGCGGAGACCGAGCCGTGATAAACCCTGACAATACGTTGGAATTTATGTGTCCAAACAAGCATGAAGTAAGTGCAAAGTGTATGTGTTGAAATGTTGAGCTATATGTGTCATGTACTAATGTCACGTTATTTAGGTGTATTCAATGGCGAAGTGTCGTTTCAAGAAGTGGTTGTATGGTCCTAAGAACAAATGGCCCGAAGAACCTCCAAAAGCAAAACAAAAGAAAAAAGAAAAGTTAATTTACAAAGCACCACCAGTCAAGTGCGAAT